AGATGTAGGTATTGTCAGAGTGTTCTAATGCTGCTTTAACAGAAATACCACAATGGAAAAGTTTCACAAGCAAGTTTTATTATATCCATGCAATAAAATATCATGCAGCGATTAAAATCACATTTCTAAGATCTTTACTAATATAGGGAGAAGGAACTCGAAAAGTCAGGATATAGAATGATACAGATAAATTGTAGGCAATTTTTGTAAGACTATTCATAGACATCTAACTATGGCTATTGTAAGTGGCAACGTTACAGGTTATTTTCATCTTGTTTTTTTATTAACTTTTGGTCTTCCAAAAACACTTCTGGTAGGTTCAACCTTTTGGAATAGTAAATTGTTGTCTTATAAAATCTCTTCTCAAATGAAAGTTGAGGCAATATTCATTCCTCCATTCTTTTCTCTTTTTTTTTTCTTTCACCCTTAAGTTGATTACTGCCCAGAAGCAGCCACTAGAGATGCAAAGTCAATATCATGTGTGTTTAAATCTGGGCATCTCACAATCTTTGGTAAGCCTCATGGAAGGGAAAGAGGCGAAAGGCAAAAGGTTAAATTATAGCATGCAATCAACCCAAATAAAAATGAAGTGGGAGTCAGAAAGGTCTCTTGGAGGTAGGGGTAGGGGACCCTGAAGGTGGTTCTTGAAAGTGTTGCATGAGGACAGGGTTGCTAGCATAGGAAGAAAATAAGAGTAGTTGATCTTGGAAGAGAGAATAGAAAATAATTGATTTATTTCCCTGATACCAAAGACGTAATCCCAACTGAAGCCAAGCCCGATGTAAACAAATGCATCCAAACCAGAGGGCCACTCTTCTGTGCTGCCTCGCCTCTGGGTGCTCTGGGACACAGAGCCCAGCAGGACCTCCGCTTCTCCTTAGAAATTGTATTTCCAACTCAAGTCCTCAGATTTCACCCTGCCTGGCTTTTGTCTGAGTCTCAAAAATAATTTGTGAGAGTTTTGAGACCCAAACTTTATAGTTAGCCATCATGGAGAACATATAAAAAAAGTATGATGTAAACCAGTGATTTGTGACCGTGACTACACGGTAGAAACATCTAAGAACACCCTTAAATGTTCAGTGTCTGCTACCCAGAGATTCTGGATTATTTGGCCAGTGCTGGGGACTAGACTTCAGGGCATTGTTAAAACTTACAGGTAATTCTAATATTCAAAATACTTTTGCTTGTGTCTTTTCAAACTGACAATCTACAAAGTAAAACTTGGGAATACAAAAGAATTCACAAGTTAGTAGTCACAACGAAGTCTCATTACTTGGCATATGTAGCAGGGTTACAGGTGAATCCCGGTCTACTAATAGGTAAGTAACGATAGCCTTCCATATTCCTAGCAATATGCTTGTTTTCAGACTGGCGTTGACAGAACAACTCAGAGTCAACGGCTGAAAAAGAACTTTGCTTTGAATCGGATGTGCCTCTGCTGATTTCACTAGGTAGAAAACTTCTTTCTCCCAATCACCTTCCTCAGAGCCCTTTTCAAATCCTTGTTCCTGAGGCTGTAGATGAAGGGGTTCAGCATGGGAGTCACCACCGTGTACAACACAGTAGCGGCAGGGTCTGTCTCACCTAAGTTGGAGGATGAAGGGTTGAAATACACAGCAATGATGGTGCCATAGAAAAGAGCTACCACCACCAGGTGGGAACCACAGGTGGAGAAGGCTTTCCACTTTCCCTGTGTGGATGGGACTCTCAGGACAGCAGAGGTGATGTAAATGTAGGAAACCAGGATGCAAACAAATGGGGTGATCATTATCAATGCCCCCTCAGTATGAATCATCATCTCATTGAGGTGTGTGTCAGAGCAGGAGAGTTTCAGGAGAGGAGTTGCATCACAGAAGTAATGAGAGATCCTGTTATCTGCACAGAATGAGAGCCGAGTCATCAGCAGGATATGCAGTAGGACATTCAGGTTGGCAACAACCCACGATCCAACAACCAGCAGGGCACAGAACTGATGGGTCATCTTTGTTGTGTAGTGTAAGGGGTGGCACACAGCAACAAAACGATCATAGGCCATCACAGCCAGGAGGAAATTGTCCATGTTGGCAAACGTGAAAAGAAAATACATCTGAGTAAAACACCCCAAGAAGGAGATGGTCTGACTCCCAAGGATGTGGTTGACCAGCATCTTGGGGATGGTGGTAGATGTGAAGCAGATGTCCACGAAGGACAGGTTGCTGAGGAAGAAGTACATGGGGTTGTGCAGGTGGGCATCCATGCTGATGGCCAGGATGATGAGCAGGTTGCCCAGGACCGTGGCCAGGTACATGCTCAGAAAGAGCAGGAAGAGGAGCTGCTGCTGCTGGGGCTGCTCGGCGAGGCCCAGGAGGAGGAACTCGGAGACAGAGGACTGGTTTGTAATGCTCATGGGCGTGTAGACCTGAGTCCAGACGCAGACAGCACAGGAAGAGTTTTTGAATCTGGAAAAGGATGATTGAGGTGAGATATTAGGACAATCTCAAGGGGAAATGTCTGTGTCCCTTAGGTAAGTCTTTAGACTTTTAACCCTGGAGATTTCAGCCCACCACTGGACCTCTCTGAGCTTCTATTTTTTCATTAGCAAGATCAATATACACACTTGAACATATACAGTACTTCTGAGAGCATGCGCAAAAGATTGTGAGTGGTTTTAACTGTAGATCCTTGTGTACTGCTTGAATTTTCTACCATTTCTCTGATTTTTTAAATAAATATTTTAAAACACTATAAATAGACAATATTAAGAGTCTTTAAGACCTGTATTGCATAGTGGACAAAACCTATGATAGAGACTGCACGTAGGAAGTATGTAATCGAGGCAGCTGATATCATCAATACCATCAATGATGTGGACTTTGAGGGAATTCTTAACTTCTCAGAGTTTCAGTTTCTTCATCTTTAGTTTATTTTTAATAGCAATCCCTTTCCTAAATCTGAAACAGGATAAGGACTATGCAAAGACAGTAACAAATCATCAGATGAGGGAGATCATCACCATTAGCCCAAAATGGTCTCCAAAGGATTCACAACCACAGGGCTGAATTATAAAGAATGGAAAACAAAGGAAATCAGTCACAAAAACTGAGATTGGCAACAGATCAAGATATCAGGCAGGACCACAGTCAGGGTGCAGTGTAACAATGATGAAACATACAACTTAGCTCTAATTCTTCAATGTTTCCTCCCCCACCCCCCACCCACTATCATGATCCCAAGTCTACCTTACAAAACTGACTAGACCAGAGGACGGACACTGGTACAGATAGGAACTGGAAACACAGGGAATCCAGGACAGATGAACCCCTCAGGACCAGTGGTGTGAGTGGTGATACGGGGAGGGTAGAGAGAAGGTGAGGTAGAAAGGAAGAACCGATCACAAGGATCTGTATATAATCCCCTCCCTGGAGGATGGACAACAGAAAAGTCAGTGCAGGGAGATGTCAGACAGTGTAAGACATGGCAAAATAATATTAATTTATAAATTATCAATAGTTCCAGAGGGGATCAGGAGGGATGAACAAAAATGAGGAGTTGATAACAAGGGCTCAAGTGGAAGGAAAATGTTTTGAGAATGATGATGGCAACAAATGTACAAATGTGCTTGACACAATGGGTGGATGGATGGATTATGATGAGTTGTACGAGCCCCCAATAAAATGATTTAAATTTTTTTAAAAAAGAAAAAGTTATTTTCTATGAACAAAAAAATAAAAATGGGAAAAGATAACTCCAGGGCAAAACTATAATGAGAGAACCTTTTGATCCCCCCAGTCTCCTCATCTGTGAACTAGATATATGGTACACATACTTTAACACATATGCTAGGAGAAATCTATCAACCAGCAAACACGAATTCCAAAGTGAGCATCATATTGGTGCTGCTGTT